TAAAATTTTTGTTTCTTCTATACTACTAGGTACTTATACTATATTGACTGGGTTAAATAGAATTGCATTTCTAAAAAGAGACTAAAATACAATTTTCATTTTCTAAAATTAGACTAAATGTCATCAGTTTTCGTCGACTAAAACTAGACTAAAATGTCATCAGTTTTCGTCGACTAAAACTAGACGAAAATAGTCGTGGATAATTCTGACTAAAATAAGACTAAAATGCTCGGACTTTTTTAGTTGACTAAAACTTGACTAGACTAAAAAGAGTATGAACGTGACTAAAACTAATAAAAACTAAAATGACAGCTTCACACAAAGACTAGACTAAAACTAAAATTAAAACAGGCCGCCAAAAACAACACTACCCGTAGCCAGCTGAGGTCACCGAGGTCCGGACCTCGGTAAATTTTTCATGTTCAAAAATAAAATATCCTCTAAATTACTAATTTGCTGTTAAACTCCTCATATGAATGTCTGCATGACATGTATAATTCAGTTTAGACAGTTTGCAAGAATTTTTATCGTCCGTGGTATGAAAATGATCGCGGCGAGACGCTGCCGGAGTGAGACTTGAGAGAGTTGCCAGATCCAGCTATTATAAGCGTTTTTGGACTTGTCTTTTTCACTTAATTTAACACTTTAGAAAGATAATAAAGTTGAAAGTTTCGGTTTAGGGTCAGCGATATCTTTATCTTATCTTATTTAGGTTTATTTTTATTTGTTTTTCAGTTTTTGTTTGTTTTAATAGCAATATCTGGCAACACTGCAACACCGGCACAAACTGACAGTAACAAAAAAGTTAATGGACAGATTATTGCTGACAAGGATACGACATTCGGGAAACACAAAAAATATCATGATATGATCTAGGGGAATGTTTAGCATATGTGGTATAAAAAGTTTGCTTGAGAGAGCTGTGAGTGCAGCCTCTTTGTTGCCAGATCCATTTCCACTTAATTTGACACTTTAGAAAGTTAATAAAGTAGGGTCAGCGATATCTTTATGTTATCTTATTTGCAAACGGTTTTTGTTTGTTTTAATAGCAATATCTGGCAACATTGCATCGTCGGCACTTAAACTGACAGTATCAAAAAAGGCCATGGATACAACATTCAGTAAAGGAAACACAAAAAAAAAAAAATCCTATCCTATATGGAGCCATGCTTTCAGGTACATTCATAATCCTGTGAAACTTTGTTGGCAGTTGACGTTAATAACGTGTTTTAATGTCGGTAACAATTTCACCACCAACAATTAATCTTTTTTTTTTAATTACAAGACACATGATTCACATTTTACAGAGTAATAATCTGACGGAGCTGCTTTGATTCTTGTATCTTCTCTGTTCTTGAGTTTTAGCATTTTTAGTATTTTTATTATCATTTTTTCAATTGTGGATGATTTCAACTAATTTTCTTAATAAAGCCTCTGCAGTTGGGTTTAATTCACATCTCCTGAGATATTTGTTACAAATGTGGTGATTCGCTTTCATGAGCTCATGAGGATGTGTTTAACTGAAGCAAAGCAATAAAGATGAACAAATAATTAAATGATTCATTCGTGTTTATAATAATTCATACAACTTTATTGTGGTTAGGTCAGAAATCCACTTTGATAAACTTGATTATAAAGTTTGTTTTGAGTATAAAGCTATTTGCTTACATCAGGCACATTGTTAATGCAATACAATACAATACAATACAATACAATAATTCTGGCCAAGTCTCACCCATTCAGACACAAATGGACCAATGGAAGCTGTGTATGGTGATCAGCCAATCAGATTGAGCTGATGTCAACACTGACACACAAACAGACTCTTGACTAACGTGTGCCAAACATAATATATACATGTTATATATCAAATTAGTGACCGTAATAAAAGAGAAGATTTGAAAGGAGGACTTGTGGAAGTTATAGTAATGTGCTCACATACTGTAGATTAACTTACTTTATAGAAATTTAAATGAAATTTCATTCAAATATATGTTAGTAAGTGTAAATAGTTTTTAACTTCAGTTTATTAAACAGGCTGAATTTAACTGACGATAGAGTTTAATGTCACGCAGCAGCTCACAGAAAGAAGAGGAAGAGACATCAGATTCAGATTCACACTCATCAGTCTAAACTGGTTCAGAGATGATCACTACTCTATGTGTGTTGAGCCAGTGTGGTTTTTATTTCTATTAAAAAGCAAAACGACAGCAGTCCGGTGCTGCGGTGGGCAAGTAATGTAATGAAATGTTGGGCAACTACGCCACTCACGTCCCACGCTATAGGACTTATCTGTCGTCCTCTCCTGTACTCAAGGTATGGAGGCAGCATCAGGATCCTCCTTATTTTCCCAAAGAGAATAGGTGAGTGAATGCAGAGAAGGAGAGCGAGCAGTTACACTACTCCTTTGTCTGTAGTCCTCTCATGCAATCCTATGGATTCACATTCATATAATACATGGAGTGTGGAAACAGTTTTCTTGCACTTCCCTTGTGATGTGCAAGGGCAGAGAGTAGGAAGAGTGAGCTTGACCGCTACCAGTGTCCCACTTTCCCACATTACAAAGGATACGGAGGATGCATTCATGTGTTCACAGATGAATGGGCTGTACAGTATCACAGGCACTCACGTCTCACTCCCTCATCTGTCGGCCTTTGTGATATATTTGTGATATATTTACCTGCCACTGCTTTTTCAGGTCGGCTTGGACTGCATCTTCTTGCTGATACTCATTTAAAGTGCTGTTTAGGGAACTATGCCACTATACCGCACATTAAAAACATCAACTGGAAACTAGCAAGACACATTATTTAAAAACAGAAATACATCACAAAGCTAGTAGTCCATTTGACGTCAAACAACACAGCGCTCCTCATGTAAAATACTCCAGTAAAATGTAAGTTTCACACTGCACTGCAGATTTATAGCCAAACGGAATCTGAATATCAAACCTCAAACTATCTTCACCGTGATCCCAAAACCCTCAGTGAATAGGATGAAAAGGATGTCAAATGTACTGTCACTCCCACAGCCGCTGTATTAGAAACACCCTCACAGCAGCGTTTACTAGTTTTTATAAAATAAAGTAGTGTTCCAAATGTACATACATTAAAAAAATATATAAAGAACTTTGCAGGATTTATGATGCTGATGACCGATCATGGAAAAGCATCTCGCAAGCGCTTTAAACAGCAGCTGATGCAACAACTTTCCCTGAGCCACAGAACACATATCCAACTGTCAATGTCTTCTTTACTGACGCTCACGTGCAGTTACTACTTGCGTAATCAAGCTGGAATTGGTGTTAATCATTTCAAAACACTTACACTGTTTTTGAATTCATTTTCTACAAGTGAGTCATCATGGAAACCAGTTTTACTAATTCACTAATAATTTAATGATGCTATTTCTAGATTTTAACGGCATGCAGGAAACTGCTCAAAGAAAGAAGTAAAACTATCAGTAAAACACTCGTGTGCAAAAGGAAAGAATAGCCTATAAACTGTGTTCAGAGCAGATGTGTGTTGAGCCAGTGTGGCTGACAGAATGCACTTTATCACACTGAAGAACATGTTTCACACAATGTAAAGCAGCACTTCTTCATTATGCACTGGCATATAGTGCAACTCTAGAAGAATTTAAACACTCAGTCTGTCAGATCAGAGGAAGTTAAAACCACAGGAGGAGCTGAGAGTATTTAAAGAAAGAGTTGAAAGTAAATAATGAAGAGAAAGACTGAGAGAAAGAGAAAATGTCTGATGAGTGTCATCTGTGTCTGCTGGGACTGATCGCTCTCTCTTCACTTCTCACAGGTAAAGAAATCTGTGTTTTCTCTTCAAGACATTCAGTGGAATTAGTCTCAGAAAGAGTTAATTTCAACACCATCAGTTTATTCTTGTGTTTCATTCAGAACATACTGGATTATTCCTGAACGCACTAAAACTAGACAGTTTCACACTCAAACATCTGATGCTGAATTATCTTCATATTGAGAGTGTGTTTGTGATTCGAACAGCTCTCTGATGAAGAACAGTAGTTTATTCTGGAGAGTGTGTTTGTACTAATTGGTGAAAAATACTGTATGATCTGAATCTTCTGCTTTTTATGCTGGTATGTTTTATGTTTTCATTTATTAATATATAACATAATTATCACTCAAATGTTCTTGTGTTTCAGGTTCCAGTGGAGTGGATGATGCTCATGTGTTCATCAGTTCTGGTGAAAATGTCCGTCTGTCCTGTAATGATGCTCTTCCTGGCTGCAACTCAACTACATGGATCTATAATAACAGATTCAGACATTCAGAAACAGTTGAACTGATCACTTTAGGGATAAAGAATAAAGACACAGGGACACATGAGAGACTGCGTCTGGGGTCTGGCTGCTCTCTGAACATCAGGAACATCTCAAAAGAAGATTATGGATCTTACATCTGCCAACAATGGACTGGTGTGAATAGAGACCAACAACAAGAACCTGATGCTCGTGTTTATCTGCATGTCCTTCATGGTAATTCTATGATTATGTGGTCAATTTAAAAGAGCAAATTCTTCATCTAAACTCCCATGATGATTGAAGAGTCTGTAATTTGTGTGTTATTTTGTGTTTCAGTCTCATCCTCACAGACTGAGATCAGTGCAGGCCGCTCTGTGACTCTCTTCTGTCAGCTGTATTCATCTGCTGGAGTCTCTTGTGATGATTGGATCCGTTCTGAGGGAATTGAGCTGTTCTGGGTGAATCAGGCTGGTGTTAAACTGACGAGATCAGACTCCAGACTCCAGATATCAGCTCCAGGACACTGTATCAGCTCTCTGAATACAACACTCCTGAATGAAGATCACAACAGAGAGTGGAGATGCAATGTTACTCAGAGAGATCAAGTCAAGACCTCAGTCACTTATACTGTCAAGAGTTCAGGTGAGAAAACAAGCTCATTAATCAGTTTCAGACCCTCATAATGTCAGTAACATTAAGGACTGTTAGTATTATTGAAGCAGAACAAACGGAGGAACAAAAGCTTCTTTCAGTTTGACAGACGAGAAACTCAAAGGTACAAACGGTCCACATTATATTTGCACTATACCGTATTTTCCAGAAAATAAATCGCAACATATCAAACTTGTGTTGTTTATAGAAAAAACAATCAAACAACAACCAAAACAGATAAGTCTCATCGGTGTAGAAGCCACATTTTATTATTACATTCAGAGGAAATTTAAAATAGGCCTACCAGTAAATAAAATGAAACGTTAACAAACATTATAAACTTGTATTTTACTTCCTCTCATTCCAAATCCTTTAAATTTAATGGTATTCAATACAGAACTAAAATGGGAAAATATATGTATAAATGAAAAAAATAAAATACATAGGCAAATATATTGTGCCATTTATTACAAACTTTTAATTTTTTTTACAAACTTCATTCATTTAAACTTGTTTTAATTTATTTTAAATGCCAAGCCAATACAAAACTTATTTAAAGCCAAACTGAAACTGCTCTCTCCTCTCACTCGGCGTGAAGTCGTGAAGTTTGATTGTTAAACTATTATTTATTATACAGGATTTGTAGAGGAGCGCGGGGCACAGAGTAACGCGGGGTTAGTTGTAACACACGTGGTTTGAATATTTCCACACATGCTAGCATAACAACATTTACGGTATTTACTAGTTGCCATATCAACACTTTATAGAGAAAAAAAGTGCACAGAAATTCAAAAATCTTTTGAAGATATCGCTGAACATTTATTTTACCATAGTAAAAGTACATTTCTGGCTTAAGTAAAATTGTCATCTTAGTTTTTAGTATTCATTTAAAATGAGGCAAATTATTAGTGCTATTATTTTAATCTCCAATCTGTTATTTATCAGTTCAGATAGTTTTTTAATGCTTCGCTAACTAGCAGAAGACAGTAACCGGTTTTAAACTCCAGTTGCGCAGATGGGGCTCGTTGTAACACTGCGTTACAATGTGCTATTCTATGACATTAGCGATGTAATTTACACTATTTACTTTAATTACTTTTAATGAGAAACCATGAGGAATAGGTGAATAAAGACGGGCAGTGAATGTTTAATGCTCAGAAGTGTATTATTTCAAGAAATGTAAAGCAGTTTTGCTCATTTATGTGGGCCGTCCCAAGCATGGTTGCAATTTGTTCATTATCAAACTCCAAAATCAGATCATTTTTAATTATAAAAAAACGCCATTATTTTACTAAAAAAAATAATTTTATTTTATTGACAAAATATTTTAGTTTGTCTTGTATATTTTTTTCATGAGATCAGATAACGCTGTCATACAGTCATGTTACAACGTGCCCCTCAGATGTTACAGTGTACCCCACCTACGGGGCATGTTGTCACATTTCACTTCCATTTTTTGAGGGTAAATAAAGAAAAACGTATACACTGTAATTATGAAACAAAGCGACGTATTTGTACTGGACAAGTGTAAAATTACAGTGAACAAAAAAATATGCTATGAACCCCATGTGGATTTACACAGACTGAGAAAGTCAAAAAGTGTTACATTGTGCCCCGCTCTCCACTACTTCTCTCGTGTCTCAATATCTGCCGGCAAACTGCACAACAGACAAATTAAAATGAAAACCAAGTAACTTTTTCTGTTTAGCTGCAGTCGCAGCTCGTCTGTAAATGCAGGAGTGGCAGATCCCCACCAAAATATTCATCCAAAAAACATAGACCTCTATATTAAAACTGAATCAATGATAAACTGTAAATGTGTTCAGCAGTCTGCAATACATATTTTTCTGATTTTCTTTACTATTTTAAGTTATAAGCAGGATGTGAGTCAATTAAGATCTAACAGCAGCTGCAGTGCAAACCCTGAGCAAACAATTTCATAATGCTTTATCTGTCAATGATGGTTTTCCTCGTATATATAAAAAAAATCCATGTCATGACCCCTTTAAAGAATCAGGGAAGGCTTAACTGAGCAAGACTGCACTGAGAATGTTTTCACAAATCAGAATAGTCTATATGAGCCTATGACCATTGCTATTCTTCGGCTCAGCCTGTTTGACATTATTACACAAGAAAAAGAGCAGCGAGAAAGACTGAAACATGATAACGTGATTGTGAACGTTTTCCCAAATCAGGCTACATATAAAACAAGTGATTTAGTATGATCTCAGACTCCATGTTTGTTGGAAATAGCCGTGAATCGTGAAGAACGCCCGCTTTTTCACATTCCTATTTTTCAAATCAAGCAGGTCAAGATGACACTGGTTTCAGTCTCCTAAGTGTCCGACTTTTGCAGCTATACGCATTATAAAATTAAGAGTCACTATATAAAAAAAAACACTCTGATCTCAGACCGGAGGACACCTGAATTCACAAATCATGAAGAATGACGTGTGATATAATTTACACGTCTACGACAGAGCACTGTAGATTTATAGCCAAATGGAATCTAAATATCAAACCTCAAACGATCTTCACCGTGATCCCAAAACTATCAGTGAATACTATCACACAGACATGAGAAATATAGCTATAAAAATCTACAGTGCCTACTTTAAGTGTCTACGGTTTATTTTGCCATTTTGTGCATTGTACAAGTGACTTTGGAATGTAAATCAGCACATTTCAGATGCTTTAGAAAAAGGCAACTGGAAAATACAGTACAGAAAATGATTTCGGGACACTTTGGAGATCCCTGTTTTACAGTGTGATGCATCTGAACTAACATTCATCTTTTACAGCTCCAGCTAAAACAACGACAGCAGTCACAAACTCTCAGCATCCCTCAACTACAAACACACACAAACCTAGAGGTACATTGTCATCATCATAGTCTTTGTGCAGTGCATCATGCTAGAGTTATCTTGTGAATTGACTGATTAAAATATGATTGTCATATTCTACAGTGTGATGCATCTGAACTAACATTCATCTTTTACAGCTCCAGCTAATACAACGACAGCAGTCACAAACTCTCAGCATCCCTCAAACAATCACGAGACTAAAGGTACATTGACATCATCATAGTCTTTGTAAGTCTTTCTTACTAATTATGTTACATTTTATTGTTTTTAATCTTTGTATATGCTTTCTTTTAAATTGTGAAGCACTTTGGGCAACAAAATTGCGTTAAAATGTGCTATACACAACATTCAGATCTAAAGCAAAAAGCTCTGAATTCCAGCAGCATAAAGAAGAGCAATAAACAATAAATCAGTCACAGGGCATAAATGAAAAGTCAGAGGTCACAGTGGTTGAAATCGCACTCTGTGCTGATGGCTTTTGTCTTTCACTATGATTGTGATCTCTTCTTCAGTGACAGTGATTTCTGCTGCTGCTGCTGGATTTGCTGTTTTCCTGGCTGCTGTTCTCTGGCTCATCTGCAGAAAAAGAGCCGGTGAGTTTCAGATTTACTCCTTCATAACAATTAAAAACCGTTCAGATCTCACTGTAATGATCAGCAAACAAGCACATCATGTTCAGATTGTGTGTATCACAGAAACATGTGGATTATGTGATTATGTTCATCTGTGATTCCTGTAATGTCAACCTCAAAGAGTTATCAAGTCAAACAAGCATCGTTTAATCATTTAATCATCACTGATCTGCTACTTAAGCTTATTATTATTTTTCTTAGACTAAATCTCTGAGCGCTACTCCTCCTAGAGCTTTCAAGCTAGAACCACCAAACTCAGCCCAGACTATCAGACTGTTGCTAGTAACATGATAGACAACATGCTAGTAACATGCTAATCATGCCAGAATCATGCTAGTAACATGCTAATCATGCCAGAATCATGCTAGTAACATGCTAATCATGCTAGTAACATGCTAATCATGCTAATAACATGCTAGTAACTTGCTAATAATGCTAACAATATGCTAGTAACTTGCTAATCATGCTAGAAACATGCTAACAACATGCTAATCATGCTGACAACATGTTAGTAACATGTTAACCATGCTAGTAACTTGATAATCATGCTAGAAACATGCTAGCAACATGCTAGTAACTTGCTAATCATGTTAACAACATGCTAATCATGCTGGAAACATGCTAGCGACATGTTATGTACAAGCTAATCATGTTAGAAACATACTAATCATGCTGGAAACACGCTAATGACATGCTAATCATGCTAAAACATGCTAGTGACATGCTAATAATGCTAACAACACACTAATCATGCTAACAACATGCTAGCAACATGCTAATCATGCTGGAAACATCTTAACAACATGCTAATCATGTTAACTTATCTAAATTTTCAAACTTCATGCTTTTACAACTGCTTGAAACTTTCAAGCTAGGCTTTCTCAAGCCAACCTAAAGTTTGTCTTGACAAACTTTTTTATGTAGTTTAATTCATTTCAAATCAAATCATTCATTTTCATTCAATTTAATGCTTCTTGCCTCTTGTAAAATCTGAACGTCATTAGCTTTGTTAACATTCTGTGTTTGCATGTGTCTTTTATTATAAATAATCATTTGAGGCACTTTTGTTTCAGGTAATAAAAGAGGCACTGGTGAATCGGTGGTGAGTTCAGTAATGCCAGTGATTTAGATCTGATTTCTGTCTTTAAAGCTCAATAAAGTGTGAATCATGCAGTTTTAACTGTTTGTTGTCTGAAGGTCAAAGATGAGAATGAAGATAAAGTGACGTATGAGACGATCAACATGTCCACTCCTGCTGCTGCGAGAGACAATGTGAGTCAAATAAACCATTAGACTTTCAGTTCTGTTCTATAATGTCATATTATTTGACAGTGAGAGACATGTCTGTTCTGTGTGTTAAACGTTTGCACTGATGTTTAGGAGCAGACAGATGATGTGACTTACTCTGAAGTCTCTTCTTCCAGTAAAAAGCCAGTAAAATCGCTCAAAGTGAGTAGATAGCAGCTCATTCCCTTGTTCTTCATCACTGTCTGCTGTTCGGTCCTATTCAGAGAAAAGCACAGCAGCTTCCCTCATCTATACACTGCTGAGATGTAGTTCTGAATCTGAATCTCAGATAAATGAAGCTTTATCAACATGTGGCTGCGGTTCAAACACTGACGGAGAAACTCTGTGCTGTTCTTTCAGGATCATGATGATTCAGTGACTTACGCTGTCATCAGATGAACAGAAAATGAGCCGCTGGGTGAACTTTACACCTCTGTGAACAAGAACAAGAGCTGCACAAATAAACATTCATAATCCAGATCACTGCATGAGCTCCTCATATCAGCAGCAGACGGGACGTTTCCACCACTGCTGAGATGCATGTTATATTTGGAAGAATTATATAGAACATATGTCAGATATTTGTTGAATTGAAAAGCAAAATGCTGTAAAAAATAGTTTCCCAAATTTTCAACCAAATGCAGAAGAAGCTACTCTTGCTTGCAGTATGTACTGTATATAGACTGTTTCTTGTAGACAATAGTGTGAGAATTACGTCAGTGTCTGTTTAAATTATATTCTATATGTCAGTTATTTCTGTTTTCCACGTGTGACAATAAAGAGCATGAAAATGTCATGGTCACGTGACGACTGCATTATGAGATGAGGATGATTGAAATGACATTTGCTTGTGTCACATTTGCATTCTCCAGTCGAAACGCCACAACATCCCGAAATCAAAAGAGAAATAAAACAAGAAATTATATCCTAGGGAAAGAAAATGAAGCTGATTGAGATGTTTTGCACTGTGAGATTATTTATATTTTCATCAGTTCCTGTTCTCTTGGTTTCGTGTCTCTCTTCACTGCATGTGGTTTTGCTTTGTCTGCATTAGTGTCTGTGTGAGTTTGGATCTTCGTTTGTGTGTGTTTTTCTCATGATAATGTGTCCAGATAAATAAATAAAAAAGGCCTATTAATATGATTGTTTTGTTTGTTTGTTTTCATTATGTTCATTCAAATTCTGAAACAAATCTCGTTACTTTATCTGGCTGTTTTGCTGTAATTCTAATGTCAGGTTGCGTTTGTGACAACTTACCCCATATATTGTGACGACAAGGAACTCTCTTTTCTTTTCCGGGCAATAATGGAGGAAATGTTCAATTGCTTTTTTGTTTTGTTCTGCTTTAGGCAAAGACTTTAGGATATGTGAATTGGCTTGACTAAAATGTGTAAATGGACCCAAATAAACACTGAAATATTCATCAGTCACTCCATAAAACATCCACAGCATCACATTACACCAACATCCACATGAAGGTTGATCAAAGCCATGATCAGATCTTTATTCCACAACATGTGAAACATCTTTAAAGACTTCTAGTCAAACTGGCCCCGAGTGAAGAATCAGCCATTAATGCTCTTCTGTGCTGTAGTCGTGAACGACTCACTGTTTTTGAACAAATCTTTAAAGTGAATGAATTGTTCTCGTTCACTGACTCTCTTTGTAAGCAATATAACGGATCTGCTTCGTTGCCGTTTGTGTTGAAAATGCTTATATTGCTCACTATTGCTGGTAATATTGTGCTTATATGGTAACACTAAAACTATTTCTGGAGCTTTTTCCCCCTCACTGAGCAGGAGTATGTCGAGTCTCACTCGTCTCTACAGTTACAGCAGCAGAGAATCAAGGATGATCTTTTGCACGAGGAAGCCTTTCCTCCCTCTCTGTCGCGCAGCAGAGACAGGACTGAGAGCGCTGCGTTTGTGATCAGTGTCGTCTCATTTGGTCTCGTTTCTTCACAGACAGCATCCAGATCACATCACATCTGTCCCTGCCATGCAAAGGCTGGATGTTGAGCTCGGTTCGCATCTTTCTCTCATATATCAGTTCATATGGAAACACACCTGTAGTAGGTTTCTCAGTTCACCTGAAGCTGCTCAGTGACGGCTCTGATCTTTTCAGATGTACGGATGTGCTTTATATCTCATGCCTTCCAAAACTCTGTGAAAACAGCTGAGGTGAACTGAGAACTATTGTCCGTAACGATGCTCTCATGGTTGTCATTACGACTAAAAACACTGTGATGACGTCCTCAGTAGTTGCACTGTTAGCAAATGCAAGCTGTAGTATGTGAGCGTTACAGCGTATCGGCAAGCAGGGACGGCTGTTTCAAATGGTCCGACTATATCAGACCCAGTTTTTTGCACGGGCCCTCAGGAAATTGACCTGTCTGCAAGAGTGCTGGTGTGTCACAGCAGATCTACCATTAGACTGGCAGGAGATGCAGAAATACTGAGATAAGCTTTCAGTACCAAAGTCTACGTTCATTTATCTTAATATTTTAAACGGATGACTCAAAAATGTAAGTCAACTTGACAAATTTAGTTCTTATAGTCCAGTAGTTTTCAATAGCAAAGTTCATGCATTGTAAAAAAATAAATAAAAAATAAGTTGTTTTTGGAGTTGGTTAATCATCCTCTGCTGAGATCTTGAGAGGTTTAATTGATTTGATTTGCAGTCTATATGTTTCAATGCATCAGATCAGTTATTATTTGCTGAAATGAATTTAAATGGGAATTAATCCTTCTTTCCTTTGTGTATTTAACATCCTGCTTTTCCATTATTGATAAAGAGTCCATTTCTGGCCTACATGTTTTATTTATTTATCTTTTAGTTATTTCCCCCGTGTGACACGGCCTTACATGTTGTTTTAGAAGCCGTTACAGCCTACTGCTCTCTAAAAAATGTGTTAAAAATGACACATTGTGTCAATGTAAAACAGGCAGATGTAAAAATATTAACCATTTCGAGGGGTGAGAACCACAAGGGCGTGAGTGACATTTCACCAACTTTAATTTGGTACACACACACACACACACACACATATATATATATATTAATAATGCTTCTTTTGCGAAAATTCATGAAGAGTTAACAGTTAATACAGTTTGCACTTTAAATTTAAATGTAGCAACTGACAAAATCTTGTACATAAATAACATTCACAAAGGCCTGTTTGTTTGCGTACATAATGCACTATGATGGTGAGTGTCGGCACGCTCTTAAAAATGATGTGTTGAAAACCACATCTCTTTAAAAAGAGATGTGTTAAAAAACGAATTTAACACGTAGTGAGTGTGCTCACGGGTAACACATATTGTGTCAAATTTAACACACACAAATTTGAAACCTTTCACACACTAATGTGTTATAGTTACACAACTTGTGTCAGATATGTGTTTTATGTTCTTTTTGCTCAATCTGAACAGAACTTGGATCCGTCAGACATTAAATTTGGGTTGGAATAAACAGCACAAAAAAAATCAACTGAAGATAAAAGACATTAAATCTCTGAAGAGCAGAGGATTAAACAACAAAAACGACTTTCAGGGGCGTAGCAGCCATTTTAAAAGTGAGTGGTAATGAGCAAGAGGGTGGCTAACCACACACTGATCCACTCAAGACTAAAAAGACTACAAAAACATCTTTTTCGTTTTTATAAATTGCATTGTGCAAAAGTGCAAAGTGCATGTGAATTAAAAACAGATGGACACGAGCAAGCAAGCAAACGTTTCAGCACATTGCTATCTTCAGTGCTCCTGCAATATGGAAGGCAATAGGAAGTCTAGTAGGTTAGACCAGTGTGCGTTATTTCACTGCATGATTCAGTTTATTAAAATGCATTTACAATGATCACAAAATTCAAGATATGGGAGCAGAAACGTATATATGTATATCATTTCATATAGTTAATCAG